AGGTGGTTGATAGGTTTATAAGAACGACGCACTGGGAACCAATCCCTTGCATGAGTCTCAGTATGCCTATCAATCAGGAAAGTCTACTACGCTCGATCTGCACGGTCTAGTGGAGATCCTCGAGAACTCACTGAACGTGTGGGAGGTGCCAGTTGGGTGCTTTATTGATATTGAGAGTGCTTTTGATATCGTGTCATATGTGAGTCATTGCACAAACGTCAGATTGATGCGACCACAGGCAAATGGGTATGTCGGATTTTACGGGATAGGATCATTAGATCCACCATAGCTGACCACACACTCTTCAATTTTGATGGACTGGCGCGGAGGGGACCTGGGGCTGACTTTGTGCAGCCGCTGCCTTTCTCCGCCGTGCGGACTAGGCTCGACTCCTTGCTCTCGACGAAATGCGGTCTTCACTGGCGGGACACGAAAAAGTGCCTTTAGACGAAGATGTTTCTTCCAACGTGCTCGGAAAAGTTTACTGCGGTGCTGTTGGGGATGGATTTGCGAATTTTTTCACGGGCCATTGCTCGATTAAATATCACCAGCATGGGCTTGCGAAATCGGGCTCTGCCCAGTGGAGATTTTACGGGGGCGGTGATAAAACTGCCGTGCACATACTTTGCCACTGCCCAGTACCCGTTGTAGGCGGCGCAATGATTTTGGATAGGGTTTCTTAAGTGGTCGGGAACTGCCCTCTAACTCCTTTAGGGATATCTCCCGTTTCATACTTGGAACGGGGATAATGAAGAAGGAGTATGTGGAGGCCACACTAAGTCATGAATGTCTGCGGTAGGCCGGGGGATACTCCTGTCCCACTCGGTTCCCTTTAAAAATCTACAATCTATCCATTTTGTATCGAAGGCAATAAATTAAAGTGCGTTTGACAACGAAAATAATAATGTATTAATGATTTGATAATCTGTCATACTTCACCAATAACCATGAGCAATGCTGCCTTATATTTTTTCTAATTAACTGTTTTACAAGCTGGTATTGGTGAAATGTCAAAAACAAAATATTATACAAAGATTAATTATTAACGAAGAATTTTCTCGAACTCAAACACAAAGTAAATGTGCCCTTCATTAAAATGAATTTTGCGTAAGAACACTTACATACCCTTTAGTTATTAAAAATATTTGTTTTTTTTTTCCATAATAATGCGTATGCATAACTAATGTAGTGTATTTTGGAAAAGATGAACTTGATTAAAAATTAGAGGGTGGCTGATTTGTATTATAAATAAGTGCAGGATAGTATTTGAACATTGATTCCCCCAGAGAAAATAAAATATATTTTATGAGATTACGATTTAAAATACGACTGCAAATGTACGCATGTTTGTGTGTAACAGCAATTTATTGGAAAACCGAACCCATAATCAACAATATTTTGTTTCCTTCTATTCACTTTATTTATTCTAAAATCAGTTTATTTTTGTAATGAACGGGGAATGTGACGCTTATTAAATGTTCATTTGAAATTTTCTGGTCTTTTGCAATATTCAATACGAATGTAAAAGCATTCTCAATAAAAAATAAAGTAAAATTTCCCATTTTTCCATCTTTCGATTACATTTTCATGTTAAAACCGTGTAAATTTTTTTTTTATTTTCTTGTATTGATGTTGTGTATGAATTTGGTTTAAGAGGGAGGAGGAAGAAGAATGCGTAAAATATCAGTAAAGTACACAGAACGTGGCTTGAATATATAATGTGCAATTTGAACTTTCATGTATGCAGACTTTTGCCTAATAATATAACAGTTTGTTTTGCATTTTTCTTTTATTATAATACGTTTAATCGCATTTATACGGATTTCATTTGTTGCTAGGATATAATACGATAAGATTATCATAAATTTTTTTTCTTTAAAAGAACAACTAAGCAGAAACATATAAAATTTTGTCAATATTTATTTAATGTAAATATTATTTTGTATTTTGAGTTATAATTGATTGTTTAAGAAAAGAATAGTGCTTTAAATTATCAAAAAATGCTTCGAAAATCGTTTGCATTAAAAAAAATTTGGATTTTCATTGAAAATTTCCATGGAGTTGTTAATTAGATAAAACAAGAAATAGTAAAATATAAAATCTAGGATAGGTAGATAGCATTTTTGACATCTAAATTCTGTTGACTTATTTGGGGATCAGTCTTCAAAACGCCAACCGTTGGTTTTGCGTGATTATTAACATAAGCCAAAGGGTTTTCGTACGGAAGTAAAATTTTTGGAGATAGCAGCTCAATTGGCAAAAAGTAGCCTAATCTGAGTATTCTGTTTCAAGCAACAATCCATTGATTTTAGCGTAATAAAAATATATCTAATCAATATATTGATTTAGTTTGCAATTTTAAATATATTGTAAAGTACATTATGTAGATGTTAAATAAAATATTTTTATAATCTACTGGCCGAAATATACATACATAATATTTTTTCTATACAGTTATAACTGAAAAACAACCGTAATACCATATTTTAAACGAATCCGAAAAAAATTTCTCCTTCAAATAACATATGATTTTGTCTTAATTTAGATAGACATAATATAATTTTGAATTGACACGGCGAAAGTTTAAATATTCCATTCGGATTCAGGTATTTACTTATGCTAAATATAATTAAAGAAAAAATGTTTCTAATATTCAGATACAAAATATATTTGGGAAACGTGACTAAAATATTAAAAAAATTTTATATGTATATTTTTTTCTCTTGTGGGGCATTTTCTTATTCTATTCCCTTTAAAAGAAAAAAAAACACTGATTAATTCTTTACACTTATTCTCTTTAAGAAATACGCAGGTATTCGAATTTCGAATTTATATTGAAATCAGTAAAACTCTCTCATATAATTTTTATTCTCTTCTTTATTTCGGGTGTTCGTAAATTCCATTTAAAAAATCCATTAACAAAACGAGTTTACTTTTTTCTGAATGTTGAGAATCACTCAAAACATTTTTTTCTATCTGGCAAAAAATTTTAAGAGTGAGAAAAGAAGTATAAACAAAAAAAAAATGTTGAGTTATATTTTGTAAACATTGAAAATATTCACTCACAAATTTATTTACATATTTTTATTACGTTATTTTTATTAATGTATGTAAATAAAATATTTATGAAATAATTTCTAATTCATTTTGAAATTGATTTTGAAATTTTCGAATAAATTATTAAAAATATTAGAGTAATTTTTTTTTAAAGAAAATTTTGCAACAAAAAAAAATTACAACTATTGAGTTTTATTCAAATTTTACTCAATAAAATTTATACTCAATTTAAAGAAAATTTTTTTCTGACTCTAAACTTTATAACCTACGTCTGTTGTCGTCGTACTTTGTCAAAAAAAAATTGAAAAAAAAAAAAAAATACGAAAAAAAAATCGTGTATCTCAAATATTGAATGAAGTGTAAAAAAATAAAACAAAAATAAACGGAAAGGAAACTGTGAAAACGAGCCGAAAGGAAAGAAAATTAAAGAAACGGAACGTAAAAGAACAAAAATAAAAAAAAAAAAAATATACACAAAAATATTTTCTTTCGCTTCTCTCAAACCAATTAGAGATACACGAACTGAAAAATTTTATACACACAATTCTTCAGTCAATGCTGATTAACCGTATGAGTTGGACGGGTTGTGCGATTAGTCCGTGTTTTTAACGGTAATTAAAAAAAAAAAAAAGAAAACAAAATAAATAAAAATAATAAAACGTATACTATATATACAATTTTTTTTTTCCAATAATACAGAGAAATAAAATTCATAAAAATTTTATTAAAAGTTTAAAAGAAAATTAATTTTTTGTTTTAATTTAATATTTATACAACAAGAAATTAAATTTAAAAAATTAAAATAAAAAAATATTTGAGATTTTCTGTTCCATTTGCTTTTAATTTTTTTCCCAAATTGAGAAAAATCATTTGTAAATTCGAATTTTGTATACTTACGTGAAAAAGTGAAATATTCTTTTTGTTGTTTTTTCTTTTGATTTGGTTGAAATTTTCATTTGATTCAATTTTCCGGAAAAAAGTTTTAATTTTTCTAAATAATATAATTAATAATTTATTGTAAAATGAATCAAAATATCAGTTGAAAATTATTTAATATGATAGTAGACACGAAAAATGAAATTTTATTAAGAAATAAGAATGAAAAATTGAAAACAATTACTTGAAATAAATTATAAAAAAAAAAAAATATTATATAAAAGATTTTTTTTTTTAGATCAAAAATCTTTTATTTACTTATCGTAAATAAAGTGTTTAAAATTTATATATTTTCCACAAAAACCTGGAGAGAGAAAAATAAATGATTTTTCCTAAAATAAGTGGGTCATATAGACTTTTATAATCATTTTGGAGTTCTAAAATTCATTCAATGCTCTCCAATAACTACCACACATGTTTATATAAAATAATTAAGAATTAATATTTAGAAAACATTATCAACAATGCATAATACATAAAAACTAAAATTACAATATAAATTTCAATTATAAAAGTGAGTTAATAATAATATTATTGAGAGGAAAAAAAAAGAGGCAAAAGAAAATGACATCGTGCTACAAATCTTATCAGAATATTTCTTTTGCACAATGTGAAATAAATTAATAAAGTTATTTTTCAAAAAGAAATATTTATAATAATAATAATAATAATAATAATAATAATAATAATAGCGTATAATAATAATTATAATCCAAATTAATTATTAACAAAAAAAAAATTTGTTCAGATATTGATTTTTTTATTTTAATTTTCAAATGATTTTCATCTATAATATAAATATGATTAAATATCGTAATAAATTAAAAAAATGAATAAAATTTTAAATAATAATTATTATAATATAAATAAATAATTATAATAAAAATACTATAATAATTAATTTGAAAAAAAAAAAGAAATTTTAATAAAAGGAAAAATAAATTAAAATTTAAAATTGTAATATGTTATATTTGTATTTAAATGAATTTCGAAATCAAGAATAAATAAATAAAGAAAAAATTAAATTTAGGATAACAAACAAAATATATAACAATATAATATATACTTAATAATAATAATCAAATTATATATATATATAAATAATATAAAGGGATTAAGTTAAAATAAATGGTAGGTGTAATTTTTTTTTTCATTATAATATTATTATACTCGTATAAATAACAATCATATAAGATTTTTATTAATAATTTTAATATTATAATTATTATAAATATAATGTTTACTTCATATACCTATTAATTATTATACATATATTATATATATATATATACCTAGCTGATTTAATTGTAAAAATTTCTCTTGAAAATGATTCAAATTCTTCGTAATCTTTATAGAGGTCATTTGCCTGTATACTTTTAGATAATTAATAATTATATTTAAATTGAATTTAATTTCATAATTATATGAAATTAAATATGATTGCATACACACTATTATATTTATATAGTATTGGTGTACGAGAATAAAAAATAAGACTAGAACAAGATTTAGATAATGATTTTGTTTGATGAAAGTTAGATGAAAACTTTGTTTAAGCAAAATTGGTATATTGTTGAATATCAAACTTTTATTTAATTTGTAATCAAATTCAAGAAAATCTTCACGAACAATTTTTCGATAATATAAACTCTTAACTTCTATCGTCTAACGGAATTTATCCGTTAGATAAATAAATCTACGAAATTTGATTAGCATTACAAATTGATTATTAATTCTTATTTCAAAATAAGTGTTCGAAATTAATTTGTACAATTATTTTATCCTGTATGTTTTTCACTAACTGATTTCCAATTTTTTTTATACATACATATGTTTGTCTGTAATTATATATATTATGTTGTGATTGATATATATATATTTATATACTTATTTTAATATTTACTATATACAGGATGTTTCGCATAAGGTGGCAAAAAAATTTCAGGTATGATTCTTTGATCAAGTTTCAGTAAAAAATTGTATGTGTGGAGGGTCGAGGGGTGCACATATAAATATTCGTTTTTGAGCTACAGTCTGTTGAAAAAAAAGTTACCGAACTTTTCCGGAATATAAATAAATGCTTATAACTTTGGAAACATACAATATAGAGCTATATTTGAGAGTTTTTTTTTACAGGCGATTGATTGTTATTTATTTTCGGTCTTACAATTAATTTGAGTGGAGTAATAGAGATTCAGATTGTCAAAGTCAGTATTTTTGAATAAAAGTTAAGCCATATTAACATTTTCCTCTATTTCTCATTGTTTTTTCAGTAAAACGTAATTAATGTGTACAGTACTTAATTCCAAATATTTGAATTACTTATATTCGAAATATGAATGAATACCTTTATGTATGTTCATTTTATTCTCCAAATTTTATGTATGTATTATGTGTACATAATATATAATTACATATTTTTCTACTAGCTATTCATGTTCTAGGTGTTAGGGATATAATTTTTTACAAAAATTAAAATATTGGAATACTTACAGTAGCTAAAATAGTTTAAATTTTTTACTTGTATTGTTATATGTACAGTTATTCATATTTACTTATACTCATCAGTAAGTATGTAATATGAGCATACTTACAAAATTTTATACATAAAAGTTTTCTTTTTTGTTTTAAATTTCTGTTTTAAATAATTACAAACATACGAAAATGTTGGTACATCGCAATGAATTCACTCATGTACACATATACCTACATCGTTTATATTTGATTTTAAAATAGGTTGGGTCAAGGTAATTTAGATTTGGAACTCATAACACATACATATATTTCGTCTATATACACATAAATTTATTCGTCAGAAACAGAGAAAAAAATAATAAAAGACAAATAAACAAGAGTTTTATTTATGATATTTTTCATTTGACATTAATCTACCTATATTTAAAATGTCCTTGTTTCCTTATTGCTTTAGGGTATTTTTTGTTTTTCTTGTTTTGTTCAATATTGTCTATTTGATTAAAAATTAATTATTTTTTCGATATTATAATATGACAAATGGCATATGTTTAATTTATTTTGCTTTTTTTTCCATTTCTCTAATAATAGAGAAAATAATTTGATTTATGTATTTAAATATGTATGTAATATGTGTTAGTTATAATCGGATTTTTAAAAAATTTGTAGGTTAGAAATATTTTTATTGCACATCAGTATAATGGACATATTCGAATTTTGTAGATATTTACCAACGATAAATTTAGCAATTTTAAATGGCAACACAATTTATCTGCACAGAGCTTTATTGAGATGAAATCCCGAATGTCCTTCCTATTTTCTAATATAAGTATTCCTTTCGTAGTCTAAATTAAAAACTGTTTATTAGTTTTACTGTGCTCGTTCGCCTGTCCTGCTTTCAAATTTTTGATATAAATTTTTTCGTTAAAAAATAATTTCGCGATAAATTGGGTGGGAACACACTCCGAAATTCGCTAAATTTAATTTTTCGAAACCTTAGTACATTTCCAAAAGTGCAACCCTTTCCAAAATTCTATAATAGAAAAAGGTTAACGATAAATCTCAGAGTATTAAAAAAAAATTATTATTTGACCATTGCATGTCTTTCAAATTTTTGCGTTTTTTTTTTTGTTCATCCTAAAGGTATGCAATAATTTTATATTTTTTTGTAAATTAATAAAAGTAATTTTTATAAAGTAGTTAGCAATAGACTGTTATTAAAAGCTGCATTTTCACTTGTTCAAACGGAAAGTGGTAGTTTACAAACCAATTTCTGTTTGATCCAATTTTATTTTAGATTCGAACTAATTGCGAACTAAATTACACAAATAATTTACACAATCAATAAAAAATTTAATTGTTATTGAAAAATGTAATTACTTATTATTATTATTATTTTTTTTTAAATTATGTTTCGTAATATAATTTTGAATTTTTTTAAATTTTTATGTTTATTATTAATTATAAACTATAAGTACTTATAGCATAGATATTTTATTAGAAAAATTATGTCAGAAATTGAAAGTTATTTATGAATATTTATAAACTTTTCTTGTTTTTGTTTTTCTGTAGAATAATTAATAATTACTTTGAAGTAATTATTTTAATTGATATTAAATTAAAGTAGTTTCCCCTAATATTATTTTCCTTTTTAATTACAAATCTTCATATATTTTACATAAGTAAGTAATTATACTTATATAGATAAGTAAGGCGTTTTATATATATTCACCTTTTTCTTATAAAAAAAAAAAATCGCCCTTGTAACAGTTTTTTTTATTTTTTTAATAGTCAAAGGATTAAAATTACATACTTTTATAGTTCATTTAATTAATTAATATTGGAATTTTATTTCATTTGGTTGTTTTCCTTTTTTTTTTATATTTTTCTTCTATTAAATTTTTTGCTAATTATTTTTAATGTTTTTTATATTAATATTATATTGTGACCCTACGATTATGGCCCGTATTGTGACCCATATTGTGAGGTTATAATAAGAGACCCCAATTTTAATAAATTATAAGGAAAATGTAGCAAAGTAATAGAAATAAGTAAAGATATGTTGCGTGCCAGTATTTCTAACTTTAGTTATTTTGATTTTGGCATTGCTAATGGGTGCTCTGAGGTCTGTATTCTCTAACAGTGCTATTGCAGCCCAACTCCTTTTTTTTGCCTTTTTTAAATTTTTAAGCTTAATCCAAGACTTTGTAACTTTCCTTATTTTTTTTTTCTTTGCTCTTCTAATAAGGGGGTTTTTGCTAAGCAATCTGATAATTAGCAATCTGATAATGAGCAATCTGCCTATATTGTGATGATTGTTTTGGCTCTTTAGTGGAATATTATTTTACTTGATACTTAATTACTAATACGTAACCAAAATTAATTCGGAAAAGAATCAAAGCTCAGTGCATTTCAATTAGTGAACATAATTTTTAGGCAATTGTTAAAGAACAAAATGATATTACTTAACCTTTTGTTAAGTGCATTACGTTCAAAAGAAATTATTACTGATTTTTTTAATAACTTTGAATAACTTTGCGGTGGCTGCTATGCTCCACTTTATCAATTATCTGTAATTCCAGTTTCCTTGGAAAATTGTTTTTTTTTTTTTTTTTTGAGTAAAATTAAGTAATAAATTGAGTAAAAGGTGTAATGAAATTTTTAAACACTTGTAAAAGTTTTTATTTATTTTCCTTACTCTTTTCCAAATTTTATTTAAATAGTGAAGTGATGAGTTCACAGTCTTACAAGCGACACTAGATTATTTTCTCTTAGTATAAAGGAAATAAAAAATTTATTTTGAGAAGTTGCCGAATACCATTTACTATTAGCTTAATCATTTTATATTTATTCAAAAATTCTTCTTTATCTTCACCTTGTTCAGTTCTGTATTAAATTATGTCACTTTTGTAGAATCTTAATTTTGAAGTATTTCATTTAATTCTAATAATTTTGTTATTCGCCTTTTTAAATTTAAATTTAAAACTCACACTCAACTTAAATGAAAGAGATTTAAGCATTTTTTTGTTCAAATTATACGAAAAATATTCCACATTCCTGTCATAAATCCGCCCCCCCCTCCCCCCCCCCCCCCCCCCCCAAATTAATATTTACAATAACTCTAAATAATAAACTCTTTAAAAATTTAAACAATTTTAAAATATTGTTTCTTTTAAATTAAAATTGCTATTTTATAATTGAACTTTTAAAGCTAAATTTTTTTACTTAAATCAGTTTCATACACTAACATTAAATATTTAAGATCATTTTTATTAAATTTAAATAGAAATAAGTAAAATATGAAAATATTTCAAGGATATTTCATGCTTATAGCTACATATATAGAAAATTTAAAGGTATACCTACAATTTTCGTTATAAGGAAGAGAAAAAAGTAAATTGTTTTCAAATAAAATTCAACATAAAATTTTACATAACAATACATATAAGTAGCTATTATTGTTACATATATATTATGTGAACGCACACAATATATGTATAAAAATATTATGTAAATTGATACACACATAATTTTACTTTACAAGATTTTTTTTTATACCTAAATACAATGCGGAAAAAAAAGAAATCCAAATATTAAATGAATACCTACCTTAAGTAAACTTTTATAATAAAATGTAGCTATGGTAGAATAAAGTAAGC